AGCAGCCTCAACGATAAACAGCCCGCTGAAAATGGCTTCCACATTTGAGAGCCTGTTAAACCTGCATTATTCTGTCCGAGCTTGTTCATCATCATCATCATCTCCTGGAGTTGCTTGACTAAGCCGATCCAACCCCTAAATCTGTAAACATTTGTTGCAGCTACGCTCTTTTAGCTGATCTCAGAAAGACACAAAACTGACTGGTTTGCTTTCAATATTCATTTAACTTCACTTAGTGGAGAAACCCATGGCATTTGGACCTGGGTGTGGTGTATATTACATGGATCTATGCCCTAAAGGCATTTTGAAATGCTTGCTGCACACAAGCAGCCCACTGCTCAACAACCACTGATGCCAGTCTTGTGTGAACACAGGAATGCCCAAATGAGCTCACTCAGTGTCTGCGACTTTGCGACACCGACATGTTGACAACAAAAGGTAATCACTGCTGTCAGAGGTGTGGTAAGTAACACTTTTGGACAGAGTTGTAGTTGTCATTATGTGCAATTGTGGGCGGTTCAATTCAAAATGTACTTTTTTTGTTTCAGATCTTTCTGACTTCGGAGTATTAGCCTTTGTTCTGTCTTTGAATGTTGTTTTATTTTGTGTTTGTACACAATGCACGACTGGCTTTGTGTACTTTTGCCTGTGGTGCAAAGAAAAAGTAGCAAAGCCACTAACAAGTTAATAAACTCCAGCTGGGCTTTGTTGTGCTGAAGCGGGGCTACACAGCCGAGCACATTCTCTGAAGTTTAGCTCACGCCTCTTCTCTTCAAGAAAGAACAACATCCAAAACTCTAGTTTTCTAGGTGTTCTCTTGTTGCGTTGTTAGAATGTTCATGCATTTCAGACACGTACACATTGATCGCCCAGAGCATGCTCACACTGAACTCAAGCTTTAGATTTATAGATGAAAGGTCCACAGATGACTGTTGTATTGTTCTTCTGCAACCAAAATGTGGCCACAGCACAAGTTTTATCGTTTCTCTCAGATTAATAATTCCGGAATAACTCAGTGTGGAAGCCTTTTTATAAACCACACAAGTTTTTGAGTTTGTGGCTTGGATGTAAATTTAATGAAACGTTATTGAAAGTTAAATCGTTAATCTCCTAGTTAATGGTTGGCTCATTGGTGTGTGGAAAGTCCGACTCACACACTTCCCTCTTAAACACGCTTTTCAGCACCTGCTTATTTACAGAAAACTGACTTTGTGTATAATCATTCTTGTCCTGTCAACAATGTTAATTTTTATAATAGGGCTGCATATTATTACAGCATCAATGTGTGAAATACAAATATGGCAAAAACGTCATAACTTTGACCTGCTGGTTTAGATCAGTGCTCTTCAGTCCCCCCCCCCCCCCCCCCCCCAAAAAAAGAAACAAATAAATAAAATAAAAAGTTCTGTGGCCATAACACACACACATATTATAAAGACGGACTGCAGTGCCCAAATTGGACCACTGGGTTTGATTCGTACATATTGCAATTTTAACATCATTTGACCCTAATTCATACTCACACAATCCCAGCAAAGAGTCTGTTCAACATTTAGACACAATTACTTTGCACAAAACAGTCAGTATAATTCTAGATATGGATATGATTGCTGTATGTTTCAGTCCTCTTCACTTTATAGATCAGTCTGTTGGAGGTCATTCTCCACATCTGTCACGCCTCCCACCATCTCCTTACGTGAATCTAACAATCAGAAGAAGACAACTGAAGCAGAGATCAGTACCACATGAGATTTTATGTTGTATAATTTACTTAAGCAAGATTCCTTTTTACCTTTTACAGAAGGAGTTTGTGTTTCTTTTGCTTAAAATCCAAATGAACATTTAAACCTGAACTTAAAGCCTGCTGTCCATCACAACCTCAGCATGTCTCACTTCTCTTTAAAACAAAACAAAACCGCTTCTTTGATATCTGCTGTGCACAATTACACACAACACCTAATCACAAAGCAGAACGCATGTCAGAACAAATTACTCACGCTCTGTGATGCATAATTATAAAGCATTGCTGATAGCGTTGAATGTTTATTCATTGTGAGTATCTCGGGTATCAAAGTTAATGTGCAAACATTTCATTCTAGTTAGTGACATTAAGCAGAAACCAGTAATTGCATTCCTCCTCTTTAAGTCATTCATTTGTCACTTAGAGTAGGTTTGTAGGAACTTCATTCCTTTTTGCGAGATGGAAAACTTGAAGTGATGGACAGTAAATAAAAGCTGCTGGTGTGAAATCCACAGGATGCATGAGTAAGTCAGATTGTGTTGAGATTTATGAGAAAATGACTCCACTCTACGCCTCGTTAAAGTTTCCCTGAACACGTCCTGGTTGTAGTTCACATTTTAAAGTATAACTTGGTGCAAAGCAAATAAAATCTGAAGCCCAGTTTCACTTTAAGCAGATCTTTTGCATGATCACAATTACCTAATAAACATCTGAGACAGAAAGGAAACACTTTATTGGTGATGATGGTGATGATGATCCCAGTATGAAAAGTCCTCTCTGGTTATAATGCTGGTGGCTCTGCTCTTCTGATGATCACCTGATCACCTGAGGCCAATGAGAGCATGATGAGATTTGTAAAAATTAAATAAATTAATAAATAATACTAGTTTAACCTTTGGTCAGAATTAACTTTCCATACCGTTTTTGTTTTATTCAAACAACTGCTTTCACAGAAATCAGTATTTACACTAAACTGCCACTTTATTGCTAGGACGAAGACAGATGACAGATTTTCTACTTTACTTGTGCTTCACTTTTTTCCATCTTACTATTTGGTTTTTCATGTCTCTCCTGTAAACAGGGACTCAAACATGTCTCATTAAGGATCTTTTGAGCAGCTGGTGGACAGTGTTCCCGTTTCTGCTGTTTTTGCTGAGCTGTTTCCTAGTTGTTCATATTTCTGACTAAAACTGGTAAAACATCTAATACCAGTACTTTTAGGACATAAACACGACACGCCCTGTTTACATGAGCCATGTGTGTGTGTATGTGTGGGTGTGTGTGGGTGTGTGTGTGTGTGTGTGGTGAAATAAGTCGGTGTGTTTGTTACCAAGAAAGAGGAAGACATCAATCAAAGCTTATATCAACCCTTCTCGTATCTCCTTCAACCACACACAACCACACGCACGCACGCAGAGTGATACACCAGAAACAAATCCACTGCCAGGGAGGGGGTGAGTTCTAGAGTGATCGGAGGGGGAGAGTGAGAGAGCACTTTCTATTTATAACCTATGTGCCCGAGAGGAGAAAGACTGTTGTTGGAAAGCACACTAGTGCCTGGTTCTGTTCTGCAGAGCTCAGGCTGCAGATCAAAGGATGCACGAACACGGAGACACTGTTAAATGTGCAGCAGACAAATGATAAACAGTGGGAGGTGATGTAGGGATGTTTTTAAATGTCTGATGAAAGGAAGAACACGATTGGCCCAGCAATCATCAACAGGAAGTGTAGCCTTCACCCTCCCTCAACATGGGGAAAATCACCTGCATATGGCCCAGTCCTCTGCATTCACTGGTAATTCAAATAACAAATTATAATAAAAATAATAACACATTCTCGTAGGTTGGACTAAAAAATGTTGGTGTTAAAAAATATAAAATATAGCCACAGAAAGCACACAAACTCCAAAGTTTTCATCAGTCTTTGTGGGTTTTAACCAGCTGGAGAAAAACATTTTTCATATGTAAAAAATTTTATTGGTTTCACTTCTCAAACTGTTTCCTACAGAGAGGTTAGTCACCTGTCAAGCCTCAGAGATTTTAAATAATAAAAACCTTATCAGACAGTGTTCCACAGAGTGCAGATTAACGTGGATTATTCAGTGTCATAGATTATTACCACTTTATCCTACTTTCATAACCATTGATCCCATAAATACAAAGAATTTGAATGAAATCAGAAATTATTCGAAGCTGAAGCTGAAAAGGACAAAAGATGGACCAGTTCCATGTTTGATCTCACTAAGTCATTTCAGCCAAGGATCTTTTCATGAAAAGTGTTTTTGTATTTTTTTTTTTACAGTTGGATCATCCAAACAAGATTTAACAAGTTATTGAGTTTTAAAAGTGATGTTGAAATATTTTCTTTCACCTTTGGACAAATCAGTCTTGCCATGTTTGGAGTTTGTTTGCCAGACTATGAGTCCCTCTGGCTGAGATGCTGTCACTTTGGTTTTCTGTAGGAAAATACTTTCACGTTTTTCCAAAACTCTTGCAGGACCCATAGTATACACACTTCGAGGTTTTGTGTCCCATTCTGCTAACCTAGTTGATGAAGCTAGTGTCTGAAGCGCTCCTGTTTCTTTAAGACATTCCTTCCCAAAGGCCAAGAGTGTTGTGATTATTCAGAGACGTTCAAGTGCAGCACAGCTGCTCGCTCTTTGTTTTACCTCCCCCAAATTAGCCACCAGGAAGCATTGTACAAAGGAGGCTGTTGAAGCAAAATGTACCTGAACTAATCACAAGAAAGACCGTGAGTGATTCAGGTACCGCATCTTCTGTGGGAGAGGGAAGTGTTTTATATGAACCCAAAAAATGTAAATCCTCTAAAAGCAAATAAAAAGCTGCTGTTGTTGAACTTCTTATTCCTCCTTAACCTCAAACGCAAACCTTTGTTGAACTTTCTCCCCCTGTAATCCTGGCTGGGGGGGGGGGGGGGGGGGGCGCTTTCCAGCACCTGTGGGTGGTCCTATAAATAGAGCACGTCTTCATCTCCACCTCAGTGTGAGGTCTAGTTTTGAACATCCAGGGGCTCTTTAGTGAGTCTACGGTCTACCTAATAGTATTGATACTTCGGTTTCTGAATGAAAATCTATGGTTCATGCTTGTTTCCTGCTTGTTATTTTGATTCTGATGTGTTGGTTCTTACTGTCACAGACTCATATGAACATTTTGTTAGTAAGAATGTTGCAGAACCTTTGTCATGTGTTGTTGGTGTGTAATATTCAAGTTATTGAACATTTCTGTCTGTGTCTCTGCAGCGTCGGACAACAGCCAGCGGTTTCAGGAGACATGCTTTGCCTTTGCGTTAACGCCACAACAAGTCCAGCAGATCAGCAGCTCCATGTAAGAGCTGTTCTGTCAAATTGTCGAATGTTTGTGAATCAGACACGTGTGTTTATAACCGTGTTTCTGTCCTCAAAGGGACATCTCTGGGTCCAAATGTGACTTCTCAGTTCAAGTCCAGTTGCGGTTTTGCCTGTCAGAGACGAGCTGTCCTCAGGAAGACCATTTCCCTCCAAATCTCTGTGTGAAAGTCAACGGGAAGCCATGTAACCTGCCGGTGAGGAATGTCTGATACAGCTCCACCTCACATCAAACAAGATTTTTGTTTTTGTTTTCCTGGAGCATCTGAGAGAAATAACATTTCCTTTCATGTTCATGTTCTACAGGGTTATCTCCCTCCAACCAAAAACGGTGTTGAACCCAAGCGGCCCAGTCGGCCCATCAACATTACCTCACTTGTCAGATTGTCCACTACAGTCCCCAACACCATCGTGGTCTCGTGGACATCTGAGATTGGAAGGGTAGGAGCTGAAGCCCCATGAGGCTTCTGAATAAGTGTTCTCTTTAAAGAGCAGGTTTAAAGAGAAACCGTTTATTACTTTTTCTTTTTTAAATGTATCGGTCACATGCAGGCTAAACGTGAAAATAGTCTTCTATTCCTATTTTTTCATTAGCCAAAGACAGAAAATACACGGTGAAACGCTCAGGTTATAAAAGCCAGTCTACATCACGCTGACAATTAGCATTCATGCACTCACCCACCTTGACTCGTGGTTGTTTTAGTGTCCAAGAGAGAGCCGAGCATGTGTCGGCTACGAGAAGCTAGCTGTTAGCATTAGCAACTTCACAACATGGCAGAACTTCTACAGGCTTTTGTTGTTTGTGGAGATAAAATAGAAATGTTGCAAAGCAAACAGAGTCAGTGTTAGAGCTGTGTTGTTAGCCAGTCAGAGGCGAGATGTGCAAATAGGAAAAAGGACTCCTAATTCTGCTGTCTGAAGCTCTCCTCTGCTCTGGCTCACTTCTAGTTCCTGAAACAGGAGCGCCAGAGCTTTTTTCCTGCAGAGATCGACTTGCAAGGCATTCATTTATACTAGAAACCACTGCTAATGTGTTGAGTAGTAAGCAGAGAATAGAGAAGTTTGATCATTTTGTCTGTTTCATAAGATTTGTATAATTAGAACTTTTTTTATATTTTACATTTATGTAAAAACTAAATGTGAGAAAAGGAAAGCTTTGACTGGAGAAGCTAATATCAGGTAGGCTCTAGATTGTGAAACATCATATTACACATGGTTACATTTGGTTTATGTCGATGTTTGTCCACAGAACTTCTCCATGGCTGTTTACTTGGTGAAGCAGCAGTCGTCCACAGTGCTATTACAGAGACTCCGAGCAAAAGGCATCAGAAACCCAGACCACTCCAGAGCACTCAGTAAGGACTCTGTTCAGATGCTGCTGGGGCTAAATGGGTTTCACACAGCCTTAATATTAACATTAGATAACAGGAAACACTTTTTATACTAAAATAAAGGTTTAAATTACAATAAATTTGTTTACAAACAAATTTGGACAACAGTCCATAACTTAAATTCACACTATTATGTTCTTAGATGAGCTGTTGTTTGTTCAGATGTGTTTAGTGTGTGATTTATAAACAAGTAGAGACTAACATTAGCTTTAGTTAGCAGCTGACCTGACAGCTAAAGGGTTAAATGAGTGTTTATATATTCAGTGATGAAGTGTTAAGTGTGTTCGCTGTTTCACACATGAGGGCTGACATGACTGCAGCCTCCTCTCTGTGAGCAATAATTCACCAGAATTGACTGAATCTTGACATTTGGGTGATATGAGAATAATGGTTATGATTATGATGGTGGTGGTTATGATGGTGATAATGGTGATGATCGAGATGATGATGATGATAATGATGGAGATGATGGTTATGATGATGATAATGATGAAGATGATGTTTATGATGATGATGGTGATTATGGTTATGATGATGATAATGATGAAGATGATGTTTATGATGATGATGGTGATTATGGTTATGATGATGATAATGATGAAGATGATGATTATGATGATGGTGGTGGTTATGATGATGATGACGATGGTGATGATGATGGTGATTATGGTTATGATGATGATGGTAATGAAGATGATGGTGATGATGGTTATGATGATGATGTGATGATGATGATGATCTAGCAAATAGAGATCGTAATCTTGTCTAAAAAGAACCATCCATTGAAAAATAGTCCAAATAATCTTCACCTGTAGAGTAATCTACTTCAGTAAAATTCTCTTTTGTTTCCCATGATGCATCTGTTATTTTGCAACTTGATCCAAATAGTTATTTTGCAGGTTTAAAATTCAATCTGCATTTAAACATACCATAATATTAATAAATAATCAATAAAAATAGCATTTAAGGTCAGTATTTATTTATTTCTATTTTTGCTCAACTGTAAAGTAAATAGATATAAATTGGAAACTATTTGCAAACATTTAACCTCTTGAGACCTGAGGAGTTAATTGGTGTGAATTTTTTATTTCACATAAAAACATAAAAAACATAAAACTGTTTATTTGGAGCAAATTACAATTAATTAATAAAAAAGTAAAAGTGCTGACAATGTAAAAAAAGAGGAAATAATAAATAAAATATTACAAGGCAAGAAGCTAATGTCCACATATGTGGATGACAGGTCTCAGGAGGTAAAATTCGGTGTTGTTTTTCTTCTTACAGGGTGTGCTAACAGCTAATAGCAGCTAAACATGTACACTCATTTCTTTGTTTAAATTAGAGATGAACCCATTCTGGCCAAGTTCAACTTGTTCTAAATAACCCTGATGAACAGAACACCTAAACTTGTTGTTCCTACTTTGGAACCTGAAAATGATGATTCTGGAGGTAAAAATAAAAGTGGGAGCTCTCCCCTAACACCCGTGTTCTGCTGGAGCAGGAACATTTATTTCTGATGCTGCTTGGCAATGGTGAGTTCAAGAACCCCTAAAAATCTGAATTTTAGTTTTCAGATTGGTTGATCACCGATTAAACTGATCATGATACATGAATAAGTTTTGTTTTTATGCCCACAAGGTTTAACGTTAATGCTGAAGAACCAGATTTATTACAAATGCTAAGTAAAATTAAGGCATTTAGGCTTCAACCTAAGTGATGTTCCTCTGTTGATGTTCTCTCAGGTAAGGTCTAATTAATATTTGAAAAGCATTCAGCCAGGTGGTCACTGTTTCTATTATTATATTGGAAGGTTAGGCTCCTTCATGAAAAACGCATGAGCTCCAGGTCTGACGGTGAGTTAGCGAGCACATCTGTGAGGTTTCTCCCTATCTCATGCACATGTTTGTGTCTTTATCTGTTCCCTGCAGTCAAAGAGAAGCTAACAGCCGACCCCGACAGTGAGATTGCCACTACTAGCCTGCGAGTATCCCTGCTCTGCCCGGTAATCATCCTCCCTGCTCCTCATGAATTTTTAACATCCAATCGTGCTAAAACACGTTTGCCCATTCTTTTCAGCTTTTCCTTGACTTTGCATGGGACTCAGCATGCCCTCATGCACATAACTCATAGCTGCAAACATGTTGGCCTGTCAAACTGTTTTCTGAAGCACCCTCACTTGTCATTTTCATGTGGGTTTGGCATATTTATGACATTTAAGAGTGCTGTTTACCCATAATCCTTGCCGCTGCGCGTCAGCTCCCAGTACCCTGAACGTGTGTTTGTGTGCTCGCTGTGCAGCTGGGGAAGATGCGGCTGACGATCCCGTGCAGGGCGCTGACATGCTCCCATCTGCAGTGCTTCGATGCCACGCTTTACATCCAGATGAATGAGAAGAAGCCCACCTGGGTGTGTCCTGTCTGTGACAAGAAGGCTCCCTACGAGCACCTCATCATCGATGGGTAAATCACACATCTCTGCACTGGTCCTGTTAAGCCCACATTTTTTAGGAGTCAGTCTTCATTAATTCTGTTATTCACAGCACACACTTTAACATTTCAGAACAGTGGTTCTGTGTGAAATTCCTGCTTGTGTTGTTCTCAGGCTCTTTGTGGAGATCCTCAACAGCTGCATGGACTGTGATGAGATTCAGTTTAAGGAGGATGGCAGCTGGGCCCCCATGAGGTCGAAAAAGGAAGTGCAGGAAGTTTCCTCAGCGTCCTACAACAACGGGCTGGACGGTGAGACAGGGGCATGAGGGATGAACAGGGAGACGGCTGTGATTTATTGGAGCATTGATCTAATTATTTTTGAGTGAATTCTGCTTCTGTAATCTTTGGATCATTTCAGAGAGGAGGAGATGTCTCTGAGCATTGGTTTTCTTACCCTGAAATCTCTGAAAGTCATAATGAGACACCAGTTCTGCTCTGCAGGCTCCTGTCGGACATCTGAAGGCTCGGAGCAGCGGAGCTCCTCTTCTTCCAGCCACGGCAACGGCAGGAAAGTGGAAGTGATCGACTTGACGCTGGACAGCTCCTCAGATGAAGAAGGGCCAGATTCGCCGGCTCCCCCACCTCCACCACTGCCTCCTCCCATCAAAAGAGCGTGCCCATCTCTGTCCCCGACCTCGCCTCCCATCATTAACAAAGGGTGAGATGACACCAGAGTCTAATTGTGTCTTTGCTGTTGTCAGAAGTTTTAGCTGCTTGTGTTTGGTGTTAAATGATTCAGTCGTTTGGCTCTTGGATGCATTAAAAAGCCTTTTGACATTTCATATGAGCTCTCAGGTGTGTGCTCCTAGAAACGCCTGTCTCAGGTGAGATGAGTGAGATTTAAAAAAACTTAAAACACTGAATATAGATCTCCAACTTCCTGAGCTTTAACATGAAAGCAGGATTAAAGTTTAAAAATCCAAACTAATCTCTCAGGATTATTTGACTTTTAGCTACTAACAAGTCTTACTGAAGGACTGATCCCAGGTCTCCCTGCAACTTTAATGGCTGCATTTCTACCAAATTAAAATTTATTACAACTAAGAGCATCTGCTGCTTCATTTGACTTTAATGACTACTGAGTGTGACTGTTGGGGCAGCATGCAGATCCAACGTGAAGTGAAGTGGGGTTATTCTTTACCCTTCCATCTGTGTTTCTGCCCTCAGTGTGTTGAACCTGCACCACCAGGCCTCCCCCGTGAGCCGCACCCCCAGCATGCCCACAATAGACACCAGCTACATGCCCCCGGTGCCCCCACTCATCCAGGACTACAGGCCCTACTACCACACCCCCAACGACCTGTCAGGTACTTATGTCAGATAAATCCTCACTCCGATTAGCTCATTGTTACACGTAAAGTAACTAAAAATGATAACAAGTGGCCTTTTTTCCACTTTTTGCCTTATTTCAAATTGTACTGACTGGGATTTTACTTTTTTGAGATGATTGCTCTGGTTTAAATGTTATACCCTCAAACAAAATGTCACAGATGATTTCAGCTGCGACAATAAAACATAGCAGGTTCGCTTGAGCAGCCTGGATCCTCCTTAGTGCTGAAGGAGCTGAAACATCAGCAGCTCCATAATCCAAAAGTGAAATTAGATTTCCTTTCCAATCAGCAGCACGTTCATGTAAAAATCTAAAACTTGTGATTCATTAGATGTGTGTGTGCATGTGTGTGTACCTGTTTAAAATGGGAACTTCCTACCCAGACGTGTTACAATACGAACGGACGCTCTCGGTTAATTGTTTTTATTCCGTAGCTCATGATGTCTGATTGAGGACGCTGCTGCAGCTGCTTTTTAATCTCATTAAGAGTCCACAAGGAATGTTGTAGCCTTCTACAATGCTCACGTCTCCAAGCACAATGCAGTTAATTAATCCATAAACACACCATCACGTCTGTGAGTAACAGCAGCAAATAAAAGTCCGTCTAGATGTTTGATTCATTGTGTGAATATTTTCTACACATTTGATCATTTTATTATGACCACTAGATCTGTCTTAACTGTCCTCATGAATGATTAGTTTTTATTTTCTCACAGTTCTTTCTGCCTTTTTAGGATCTTTTATTCCCTATGAAACCTGTTTGTTTGTGTCGTTATTTACGGTCATGCTTCTGATTCGTTCACCACAGATTCTGCCTGTGCTTCATTTCCAGAGTTGAACTTCTTCTCTTTCATCCAAGGAGACAATCATCAGGTATGGAGCTCATGATGTTAGTCCAAATGCTGACGCCACACAGCCTCATAAAACAATGCCTCAGCATTTTTTGTACATGTAACCACGAGCAGGTCTTGGTGTTCCTCGTAAACAAACATCGCCTCCAAGACTCAGTGAGGAATTTAGAAGGGAATTTTCTTGAAGCTGATGGTTGGTGGATTTTCCCATAAACTCCTTCTAGGACACGTCGTTCTCTCCTCCACCACTTGTGGGGCTTTACGAGCTATTTAAGGATCCGTGAGAGCAAAACGTTTGACAAATGAAAGTTTTCTCATATGAAGAACATTCTCTCATTTAGCTGAAGCTATTTCATATCCAGCTGCTGTCTGCAGCGTTAGAGCTTCCTGCTGCTGCCTGTCCCATACGACCACCATGAGTGGAATTCCAAATATGGTTCAGGTTTTTAACAAATTCATCCTCGCGATGTTTTTGGACTGGAATGAGGTAACGCAAATGTTTAGGCCTGTAAATATAATAAACCTTCTGCACAGGTGGATACCTGCATTTGTAAATATGTCAGGTTTTCAATCAAATCAAATCAAAAATACTTTATTAACCTCAGAGGGAAATTAGAGTTTCAGTACACACAATTCAGAGATCAGACATACATAGGCAAAACACATGACAAGAATTGGTGACTGTGGTCATTCGCAACCTGAGTCGCGCTACCTTAATAGAGATAAGAGGGGTTTACATGAGGGTTGGTTCAGGTGGAGGGGAAAAAAAGGCACTTCAGAGCTACCCTCCATAGGGAGGGCAGCTTTGCTCTGCAAAAAAAAAAAAACACCTCAAACATATATGCAACAGACTTCAGACAACACAAGTGTCCACTAGGTGAGGTGGTGGGTTGGGACTATCCCCACTTCAGTTCCTGCAGCCACGATAAGCAGCACATGTCACCTCAGTGTGGATAGGCGGGGGGGGGGGGGGGGGGGGAGCATTGAGGGTTGGAGGGTTGCAGTGACCCTGGAATGTTTCAGTGGCCTTCCCGCTGTCCCGCCCAGGCTGGGATAGGAGACAGAGTAGAGTTGCCATAGCGACGGCACATTCCACATATCTTCTGAGGGGGGAGTTTTTGTTGGAGCCTTGCAGGCTCAAGGACGCCAGATTCCGATTAGAAATTGTTTTGGGGCCAGACAGAGATAATTTCCTCTCTGTCTTGCAGTTTGTTGGTCCTCAACCTCTCAAAATCCCAGTAATGGACATTAAACTATCCCAATCCGTGCTGATTCGTCCACTCTATCCTTGATGGCATCCATCTTTGTGCCAATGAATGAATCTCGGCCAAATTCCCAAGCTTACGATTCATCTCGACAATTATTTGAGTCTGTGAATTCACAGCGTGGTGTAATCCATCTCTGAGCTCCGGGATCCGGCCACTATTCCTCGACAGCTCGTTAATTTTCCAGTAAGCCAGGTAGCCTCCAATGCCGATCAGCAGAAAACCCGACACCAACACCACGAATATCCACACACTTTCAGAGTCCTCCACAGACAGCTGGTCTGTCCCGGAGGGGCATCCGGGAGCCCCTTCTCCCGTTCTCATCGTTGAAAAAATTTAATCAACCGCGATGAGTGACCAACTGATGAGATCCATTTTAGTGAATTTCAGTTTCCAGTTTCCAGAAAAAATGCAGAAGCAGCCGTGCGCCCAGCACACACAGACAGACAAAGGCCTTGAGGATAAGATATGGAGGAGAAGAGAAGAAAAGCGTCTGCACCCTCCAAGAGCCGGACGTTTTCCATTTTGAGATTATTGAAAACTAGAATTTGTTTACAAAGTGGAAATGGTTGTATTTTGTACTAATTCTACTTAAAGGGATATTCCACCCCAAATTGAGATTTTGTCTGTTGACATATTTCCCAGAGTTAGATTAGTGAATAAAGCCATTGTTAACCAGCCCAGTCATTCTCCTGACCAGGCTGTACTATTTTCACTTTAGCTTAGCATAAAACACAAATTAGTAAAAAGTTAAATAAAAGATGTTTTTTTAACATGTTACATAAAAATGTGACATTATTTTTTTATTTATTGCTATCTGACGTATTTTAATAAGCCCCTCATGAACTAATGACTGTTTATTTAGCCTACAAGCTCCAAAGCTTTAAAGTGGCTGATGTGCAGGGGCGGCGTTAGGCCCGGCTACTTGGGCTGAAGCCCCGGATGTTTCATGGAAAGCCCCGGATCTAAATCGCGGAAGTAACATGCAGTACCAAAGTCCAACAGAGAGGGAGCAGCTGGCAGTAGTTTGTATACTGCCTGCCTGAGCCTCCACCACTGAAGAAGAAGCCCTTCAGCAGCTGGCTTCTTGTACACTCTCTGCCTGAAACGCATGAGTGAAGATGGACATAAGGACGTTTTTTAGACCAAAAGTACAACGACAGAACCCCAGCTTTGATGAGACTGGTGCTGACTCAGGTTTGTGAGTCTTATTTGAAGATATTTGTTGTGCTGCTGGTTTGCCTAAAGTTAGCTTACTATCAGGTAAAGTTGATGGAGAAAGAACGGGAATATTTACTATCATCTCACACTAAACACTAACAGGAACAATACTCTGCCCTGAAAATGCTTAATATGTAGCTTCAGATTAAAAATTATGTGGTACCAGACAAATATGATGTTGACTAGTGCGTGTCATATGTGTGTGTGTGTGTGCGCGCGCGTGCGTGCGTGTGTGTGTGTGTGTTAAGCCCCGGATCTTCTTCAGTCCTAAATCCGCCCCTGCTGATGTGTATTCAGGTGTTTCAGAAAGTGAAATAAATAAAAAATACTTTAGTTTGCAAAAACAAAAAAATAATGACTTTAAATAGGAAATGTTTATATGTAGAGTATTTGTCTCATAAAGAGGAAATGCATTAGGTCCGCCTCCACGAGCCTGGAGGAGACGGATCAGCGTCAGATAGAGTCTGTGAGGCAGGAAAAGGTGCTTCTGGTCTGGATTCATAGTGTGAAATAAAAACTGTCTAAAAAGTAAAACTATACTAAATTAAGCAGCTCCTCCTTGTCTAGGTGATGTTTGACCCCTTTGTGGTCCTGAGGGCAGAGTTGGGCCCCTCTCACCACCCTCCTGTGTTCCTCTCCTGCAGCATTACAACATGGTCATGGCAGCGGCAGCAGCTGCCTCAGCCTCCGATGATCACGACCTGCTTCTCAACCACTTCCTGCCCTACACCACCTCCTCCTCCACCTCCCAGCTGTTCCTCGACCAATCAGGCGCCTCCTCGGCCGCCTCGCTGACAGCACCGACCAACGGAGTGAGCAGCTCCGGCGGCGGCTTGGTGTCGTCCAGCGGCCTTCGAGACGTTAACTCCACACACGCATCTTCACACACGGGCTCACACTCCTCACACACACACCCCGGGGTGGTAGCCAGCAGGAACAGCGCTGAAGCGACGGTGGCAGCTATCTATGGCGGGATACCTGATGTCATATCGCTGGACTGACCCGAGACTAGTCCACACTCTCTGGGCTCAGCTTGACTGCAGCAACACACCCAAGCAGACTGGCTGCAGGCTGAAGGCTAGATCCAGAGATCAGACTGGCACCAAGTCATCAGACTCATTGGGGCGGAGCCTAAGTGACGAGGCTGCCTTTACAAGAGCACTAATTAAACCAGTGAGTGACATCACTCTACGGGGACAGCTGTGGTCATTGTGTTGGTGTATGTATACTGACCTCAGATCAGAGCTGCTTTACTTCTTTACTGGTACCACCTCTGCACAAACGACCAAGATGCTACCTGAGCTAACACACAAGGTCAGATGCTTCTTTTGTTTTTTCCTGAAACAGAAACCAGGAGTGGCACCGTGTATAGAGAACAAAATCTATTTTCCTCTTTTACTTTTGTACGTCGGGACATTTTCAGCCTGCTGCGCTGCTTGGATGGCTGTTTCCGAGAGGAGGACCTTCTCTAACAGAGCTTACAGATGAACGCTGGTCGCCATCTTCTGGTCTCTAAAGACACAGATCCAGTCTGCGTCAGTTCTCTCTGCTTTTCTCTTCTGCTGTTATGGTGTTTCTGTTCTCTCATACCAACGTCTCTGAGGCTGAACTTGCAGTTTAAATGTACCTGAATGATTTAATGAAGCGTTTTAACTTATGTATTATATTTAAGCAGGTCTTTATGCATTCCCTTTGACCTCCAGGTGGATGGCAGTGGGGGGTGCAGACACAATGAACTATTTCTGGTGTTTTTTTATTTCCACTCCCTGTAAAAATTTGCCGCCATACAGCATTTATGGGATAAAACTATTTATACTTGCCAATTTAGACTTTTAGCTGGAAAAAATTTCCTTTCCTTTTCTTCCCTTTTTTTTTTTTTTTTTTTTTTTTTGCACAAAGCCAAATAACAGGTACCGATGAGAGCCAGTGTTTTCAGTCGTGCCCATGTCTGCAGCTTGGATCTGTTCCTCCATGTCTCGTCTCCTCAGCTGACTGTTAAAGAGGATTTCTGATGAAGCGGCGTCCACAGGCGTGTGACCACGTTTAAACCAGTGCCTGTTTATGTTCCTGCTTCTGGGTTCGTTCAAGAAGCATCAAATTAATGTCTTAAGTCTTGTCTCTGGTCTTCTGCCCTGGACGTTTTGACCTGCCACTAATATCTTCACCCTTCAGAGGGACAGTGTAGAGAGGACGGCTGTCCCAGGAGGCAGAAGTAGAACATTTAAACACTCGTGTCCCGTCTGGAGTTCAGAAGCCCCTCAGAGACAGTCGGCGTGAACAACATGGTGGCTGTTGTCTGCTGGAGACGGAGGGCGTCCATTATGAATGTATTGTACGTCTGTAAGGCGGGACACCGTTTCAGGTGGTTTGTCTTTACCAGAACTAAACGGGTCTTCGTCCTGCAGACCCGTCTGTGTGTCCGCTGTCATCAGCGTCTCCTCGATGTTCTGCTTCCCGTTACCGGAGACAGGCAGCGCACTCTACAGCCTAATTATCCCAACCCTTAGTTAATCATATCTGACAGCAGCCCCCGCATCCCTCGTCCCGTTCCTCCACACAACTGGGAGGTGACGCAGGGTGACCCCTTTTCCTCTTCATCCGTTCTTCTCATGGGAACTGGGTCTCGTCCGCTGGACCCACTTTCTGTGTGTTTTCTGTGTTGAGCAGAATTTGTTTTATTTTGTGTCCTCCTGTTTATGTCTTTGTGTATCGCTACACCCGCTTCAGCAGCTGAGGAGGAGGGTTTCAGTCGCTGAAAAGGTTTTATTTAGTGATCATTCCCCAGCATCACAACTGATGCTCCATAAAGAAAAGTGGCACTGCATCTCCCAGGGAGCAGACTCTGGTAATCCTTCTTGATAAGGGCACAAAACTCAGGCTCATTACAACATCTGCATGATTCAGAAATGGTGGAGGAATATCTTCTGAGAGTGGTGAGAGCCTGTCTGTGAGGAGGTCAGGTGAATGTTTGTTTGGTTGTTCAGTTCCCTGAAAACAGATCCATCACTTCCTGAACAAATCCCTTCAGCCTCAGCTGCTGAGCAAACATCAGCCCACTAAAGAAAACTGGTAAGCAGGAGAAATGATGCTGTGATTAGAAGGTAAACAGGTTTTTGCCTCTGGACGGAGGCATTTTCACTCTTCAGCATTATTAAACAAAAAAAAATGTTCTCTTCCGCTTTTAAATGTGGCTTAAACAAATACACTAATGCTAAAAGGTCTGGATCAGTTTCAGATTTCCCGTGAAACATGTGGAATTTGCAAATAAACAGGACATCCATGTAGTTGGAAATTAACATTTAAATGGAAAAGGCGAACCTCTTCTTAGACATCCCAGCTGTCAAACCTCCCAGGTAGTCTGATGGGATTTCACCCCCGTGGTTGGTGGAGCTCCATCACTGTGGGATTTCTGTCCCACTGTGTGTTCTTATATGGTTGAGTTTATAGTTAAGTATGTGGAGCATCGGTTTGTTTGCAGGCTCAGACAGAGACCCGCCACTTTACTGCTGTGCTTAGAGAGGCCGGATACCTGGTGTGGTTCGGTTTCATCCAACACACCTGCTGCACCTGTAAAAACAATCAGGTTTCTGTAATGGAGTAGCCAGCACAGTTTGTGGAGACGCTCCATGGGCCATGAAGTAAAAATCTGATTAGCTTCAACATTTGACAGAAAGCTGATAATCTTTTAGTCTGGGTAGTTTTAACAGCAAATTTAAAACAAGATTTTCAAGTGATCCAAACAATGGAGCTAGCTGTGGTGAAGCTGTAGCAGCCTGAAAGTGACTTTTACCCAGCAGAGAAGCTAAAATGTTTATAATTATTTATCAGATCTCATTGCTGAGTTTATTTTGGAGGCTCTTTTGTAGTTTTTTAAGCTTCAGGAAGCATAATAGCTGTTTTCCTAACTGTGCCTTTATCAGGAAGTGTTACCAGTCTGCTCTGCTGGTTTCATTGGTTTTTAACCACCAGTGCTGGGACGCTTGATGGAGACGGTCACTGGAGCTGCAAGCATTTGATCACAGCTTTATTTACTGCAGCTTCTGTCATGCAGCTGGATTAATGATGACGTGCTGAACGTGTTCTTCATGCAGGGATCCAATCTGTGTGAGATCAAGTCTGACACCCCCCAAACATTAATCCTGGAGGGCAACCAGTCGTTTTTAAATCATCCTAAAAGGGAAAAGTTTGTACATAATTTCATTCTGAAAACTCAGAAGTTCAGATCCAGATGTGGCTGTGTGTGTGTGTGTGTGTGTGTGTGTGTGTGTGTGTGTGTGTGTGTGTGTGTCACTTCAGAGCAAGAGAAGAAAATAATTTATATATTTTTAGAGAAATGAAAGCTGTACTATTTAAAAAAAACGACTGTGGCCAATAAAGAGTCCCACAAAAGTCAAACAACGCAAGACGGAGTTGAGTCGACATCTGCACTCACTGCCTTATTCACAGGTTCAGCTTCACAGTTTTAATCTGAGAAAATGAAAAATAAAAAAGATTTTTTCATTGAGGGAAAGGAAAAGCCGGTGTACATTTAGACCCACGTCAGTTTGTACAAATATACCAAGTGGAAAAGAATATTTATTACATGCATTGAAAATTGTTTACTTATTGAATGTTACTTGTTTATGTAGAAAAGTAGATGTAATAAAATGCATTCTGCTACTTCTCTGCCTTTATTATCATCATTATTAATTTTCTATGATCCTCTGAACTTTATTTTTATGTGTTTTATTTTTGAATTTTTGCATATTTTGTTACCTAAAATCTTTTATTCCCAAATCAGACAAAAATTCTCCTGGATGTAAAACATACCCTAACCCAACACTGGGAGGCAGCAGTGAGTCATTTAAATAACTTTGAATCCTGTTTGGAAACAAAGCTGTTACGCACATGATTTGTCCAGCTCCTGTGTGTGTGTGTGTGTGTGTGTGTGTGTGTGTGTGTGTGTGTGTGTGTGTGTGTGTGTGTGTGTGTGTGTGTGTGTGTGTGTGTGTGTGTGTGTGTGTGTGTGTGTGTTTTCTCGGCTGCTGGCGCGCCTCGTCTTACTAAGTGTTGATTGGATGCATTTGGAAAACTTAGTTAACAACATATGTATTATTATTAAATATTAATTAATTATTAATTGAGCTGGAAGTTGCGCTCCTTTGCGCATGCAAGAGGGTATTTAACCTTGCGCCCCTGGACAGCTTCACCCCACCCATGGATGAGAGCGGAGGGTGGAGCGGCTCTGATTGTGCGTCTCGGAGAACAGAAGCAGGGAGGATGAGATGCTGCACGTGAAAAATCCACCTCTTGATCCGAATTAGATGCTTCCCTCCGCTTTAAACTGAACTGAAACACATCAGTAACAGATGGAAGTATGAGTGTGGACAATGGGAGCTTGTTTTGGAACCGGTCTCAAACCGGACCAGGCCTCTTCAGCAACCTGGAGGACATCGACGTGACCGCTGACGGGAGTCCGGTCCTCAGATTCTTCATCTGCCTGGTGTATTCCGTGGTTTGCGCTGTGGGTCTGGTGGGTAATGTGCTGGTTCTGTTCTTCATCAGGGTCAAACAGGAGAGGAGGAAGTCCAGGGTGAACTTCTTTGTGCTGAACCTGGCCGTGACTGACTTCCAGTTCGTGCTGACTCTGCCCTTCTGGGCCGTGGACACCGCGCTGGACTTCAGCTGGCCGTTTGGAGACGCCATGTGTAAGATCATCCTGTCGGTCACCGTCATGAACATGTATGCCAGCGTCTTCTTCCTCACTGCCATGAGCGTCACCCGCTACTGGTCCCTCGCTTCCGCTCTGAAGAACACAACAGTGCGACAATCCTGCTCCGCGAAGTGGGTTTGCGCCATTATTTGGACACTTGCGACTCTGGCCACCGCGCCGACGTCGATTTTCTCCGCAGTCACCAACGTGACGGGAGAGAAGCTGTGTCTGCTGCGGTTCCCAGGTGGACAGTACTGGCTGGCCGTGTACCACATACAGAAAATAGTTGTAGGGTTTGTGTTGCCGATGTCTATCGTTTCCATCAGTTACTTTATGCTGCTGCGTTTCATCCGCAAGAGGACCATGAAGACCAGCAACCCCAAGCGGAGATCCCAGGTCACCAAGTCCATCACCGTCATCATGCTGTCCTTCTTCTTCTGCTGGATGCCCAACCACGCCATCACCCTGTGGAGCGTGCTGGTCAAGCTGAACTTTGTGCACTGGGATAAGGCCTACTACGTAGTCCACACGTACGTGTTCCCGCTCACCGTGTGCCTGGCGCACACCAACAGCTGCCTGAACCCGATCCTCTACTGCCTCACGAGGAAGGAGTTCAGGGACAAGCTGAGAGGGCTGATCCACAGAGGATGATGGGGTTGAAAGGGTTTAACGAAGCGCGTAATGTGTGGACAAACTGTAACCAAGACGCGCCGGATGCGCTCGGCAGAGCGCGCAGCCTGGCGTCACGCTTTTGTCTGTTAGTGGTGTCGTCTTTTTGAGATAATGAGCCATTTGTGATTGTTCATTTTTTGTTAAATTGTAATAAAATTGAATTTTGGAGCAGCGTTCCTTCTGTGTGTGGTGTGCGCAGTCCACTGGCCGTGCGTAAAAGCGCACCACATTAACCTTCGTGTTCGTGTGCTTTTGGTATCCGTGGGCTAATCAAGAGTGGTCAAACGCACATCCACATCCATCTGTGAATGTTTTTTAAAGTGAATTTAAAGAACCGGAAACAGGCAAGGAACTGAAAAATGACTTGAGGAAAATTAGAAAACTAAGTTTTTGATCCAAAACACAGAATAATTGTACATGATTGTAAATAAGCAAACAAAATAAATGTGTGCTAATATAAATAATCACGTGTGTATAACATAATTTTCCTAAAGTATCAGTAGATGAAAGGAAGAAAATGAGACATCAGAACTTCCCCATCAGTAAATAACCCGCATGCACGCGCAGTTCATGCAACACAGACTGCTACTGAATGTGGTTCACAGCTGCAGCTCACAAGTTATTCGTTCTAATTTAAGTTTTGTTTCGTGTTTGACACGACTGGAGCTGACTGATCAGGTTACAGACGTAGGCCTATACCTGCATGATCCTTCAGTCCGCAAACCCAAACCCGATCTGACCTCCGATCAACGAAAACATCCTAAACACGAGATGTTTGTTGCTCACTGAAATTAGAGCATCAAAATAAATCTGATTATATGTTTTCTGATTCTATTTTATTGTTATTACCAGTTTGGAGATAAATAATTCCCAGATCAAATACATGTATTAATACGATTTATAAAAAGTCTGTGAACACAGGTTTTCATTTATTCATGTATTTTATTGATTTCTGCAGAGTAAAAACAAGGCATAGCTAAAAGTTTATAAATGCCAATGTACAAGAAAATCCAAGTAGAGTAAAAGTCTGTCTCTATAACGAATAAAGAGCTGGCCTCAAGGCTTCAAATAGAGCAAACAGAGGGTGATCCTTTTGTTTTTGTTTCAAATGTCTTTGTGCCTTTAATTCTAAAATCACCAATTGAAAGATGCAGCATCAAAACCACTAACTCCGCCCTCTAGTCAAGTTATGAGTGGTTGTGTGTTTACAGATAAACAAACAACACACCAAAACTATTTCAGGACTGGTTTTGGTGTCAAGGATGTTACAAACCCAATATTTGAGGTGAATCTGGGAGAAATCCCTATATTCCACTTGGACTGAATAAATACGATTTTTCACCAACATAATGACTCACGTGGACATGTCGGGTCTTGGTGTGAGCAATGGTGAGTTTTTAATCATGAGAAATTGGACAAGAAAATGATGAAATTAAAGAAAAAAGTTTTTTTTTAATAAGATAAACTGTATAAATGCCCAATTCTAGCATAGATGTGATGCAAGCTAATTTATCTGTCTGGTTTGGTACAAAGGCTCATCAGAAAAAGTTTATTAAAAACTTTTACCAATGTAAAACAGCTGAGTCATCGGTAAAGCACGGTGGGGGCTGTGTCATGTTTGGGGCTGAGTTTCATCCAGAGCTGTTGGGGATCTAAACTCATGATGTCAGTATATTCTATGAATGGCTCCTATAGATATGTATGTATATAATGTTGAAGGAACAAGGGGCAGCTGGGGCTCAGACATAGCATTCTAAAGCACCCAGCCTCAGGCTGCAGGAGGAGTAGAGATTCATTAGAAAAGTCAAACAGGTCCCCAGACCGAGCCTTAATCACCAAACCTCTACCACTGCACAAAGAAACAACTGTTCAAAGGGTGATGCTTTACTATGACTTCATTTTTTATGGATTTTCTCAATAAAATCTGCAAAACTATAAGTGAGCTCATCTCTTTTACTGCTTCCCCTGTCATCTCATCAGCAGAAAAAAAACATCATTTTAGTTTAGTTTTAACAACTACAAGACATTTTAGACTCATGCAAACTCTGTCATATTAAAACTTGTGTTTACAAATATTTAAATGGTTAGCTCACATCCAGTTCTGCTGGATGTAAAAAAGGGGGCAGATCAAAGTTTTACTTGGTGAAAAAGGGGCCAATAAGAGACTTCAAAGACATGGATGCACTTAGGATAAAACTGTCAGCCCAAGAGAACGCATAAATGTCAAGCATTTGTAAGCTAAAATGGTTAAAAATAACAGCAGGCAGCACTCTACACACGCCTAACGTTACTCTGAGACTGCCTTAATCGGGTCAGAACTGTAACTCAGAACATCAGTCACGGGAGGGTGGTCTGTGAGCGCTAATCCCATGTAGGACCGGACCTTAAGGTGAACGGAGAAGTAAGGACCTCCGTGCTCGCTCAGATAAATAATTTTTTAAACGTTAGCATCACGATTAAGTTTTGGATTTGGTTGGAAGTTTATTGACATGTTTGAAGTCGGGTGCTCAAAACAGAGAAAATCAGATGAACTTTTCTCTTGTTTATCCAACAAAATCTGACATGAAAAACAGGATCATTTCCTCTGCTTTCAGTAGAATAAAGAGGGTCAGGCGTGTATTAACATGAGGATCGCTACTATCCATCAGTCTGAGATGTTCCTAAGTATTAGAGGTCCATCATTCAACAATTGTTTACCAGTAGAAGAAGAAGAAGAAAATATCATGTCTATACTATAGCGCCTCTCAAGATAAAAATCACGAGGCGCTTCACAAAAACAAAAAAAATGTAAAAATTTAAAAAAGCATTTAGAAAATGTTTAAAAATATATTTTAAATGAGCAAAAATGGGCAATTGGGATTTAAAAGAAAAAATATTAAGAAAGAGAGAGAGTGAATAGGAAAGAGGGAAATCAGTGGATCCTGAGGAAGGTGGAATAGGTGGGGAGAGCAGAATGAAGAGAGTGTGGTTGATGAAGGTCATACAAAAGTCAGCTTGATCAAGTGAGTCTTCAGCTGCTTTTTGAAGGAGACCACTGAGTCCACTGATCTCAGGCTCAGGGGGAGAGAGGTCCAGAGTCTGGGGGCCACAGCAGCAAATGATCTGTCACCTTTGGTCTTTAGCCTGGTGCTACACAACCAGTAGGCTTTGATCACTGGACCTCAGGGACCTGCTGAGGGTGTAGGGACTAAGAAGATCACCAATGTAAGATGGTGCTTGTCCATGTAAGGCCCTAGAGACCAGAACCAGGACCTTGAAATGAACCCTGAAGTTGACTGGCAGCCAATGAAGCTGGAGGAGAAGTGGGGTGATGTGGGTGTGATAGTAGAAAGTAGAAAGTAGTAGAAAACATTTTAGACAGCTGCCTGTCTTCTGGAAGTGGACGTCCCAATGGCTTCTCTCCAAGGTCAGACTCTGGACCGCTTAGCTAAATCCAAATAAAACCCAAGAGCTCCATCTGATACTGAGATCTCAGTCAGCATGTTAAACACTAAAGTTCATGATTGGAGAATATTCATTTGGAAAGGTTGAAAAGAAAATAATAATAATACCGCCGCTGTGAGGCCCAGTAGTTGAGGGTTAATGTTTTGTGCACCTTGCAGCAACAGGTCCAGTCAAGTCACCTAAAAGCCAAAGTGTCCTGGGGTCAAATGTGAGCTCAACTGGGTCATAAAACAGGACATTCACACCAAAAACAGCAGCAGATTTACCACAGAATGTTTTATAGGAGAAAAAGTAGTTATTACAACGGCCAAGTCTAGACCTCACTGTTACTGTCAAGAATCAGCTAGACCTGATGAAATCTGTACATAAAGATATTCTTTATTAATCTCAAAGTTCTGAAGCTGCCATGAGAAGAAAAATGGGCCAGAGTTTCTCAAGTGTGAAAACAAATTATATCTTATTAAACAATTACTTCAGTTTGTTGCTTCTAAATGCAGTTGAACAGGTTAAAGACCAGGTTCAATGATACATCAGTTTGACTTATTTTAAAATAAGATTGATCATTCAGATGCAGGCTGAACACGAAAATAGTCTGCTTCCCCTATTTTCTGCATTAGCTTCTGATAGAAAATAAAGGAGGAAGTGCTTGGATCAGAAGAGCATGACAGATCTACATCACACGGATGGACAATTAGCAGTTATGGACTTATCCATCTTGGCTCGAAGCCTGTTGTTGCTGTAGCAGAAAGCAGAGAACGTCTCGGCTGGTGGAAGCTAACTGTTAGCATAAGCAACTAAATGACACAGCAGAAATCCTCCAGGCTTAAGTTAAGTTAAGGCTTAAGTGGAGATAAGTCATCAATGTTGCAAAGCAAACAGAGTTAGTGGTAGTCACGTTGTTGTTAGCCAATCAGAGGTGAGATGTCCAAATATCAGGAAATAAGAACCCAGATCCATTTGTTTTCTGCTCCCGTCTCACCTGGCTCACTTCAGGTTCCTGAAACAGGAGCGCCAGTGTTTCTTTTCCTCATTGATCGACTCACAGGGCATTCATTTACAGTAGAGCCCGTTGCCCATGTGATGAAAAGCAGAGTGAACATGGTTTGATTTTCACACACTTCTTCCTCTTTTCAACTACATTGAATTTAAATAAATCCCTGGTCTTTATAAAGGGGTCACTGTTGCTTTTATTATTAATTTAGCATTTTTCTTTAGCTACCATCACTGTAGGTGTCTGCTCTGAGCTGCAGGTTTGGATTTGGATTGGAATAATGATGATGCAACATCCTGTAAAAGTGACGGAATCGTTTAGAACTGGGAGATGGACTCTCACGTTAGAAATGTAAGAAACACAGCTGAAGGTTGATTAGAACGACTGTCAGGTATTGCTGTTGTTATCAAATGATGCTTATATTAGGGGACAAAAGCACCCATATGATCCTGGCCTTATATGAAAAAGTAATGCACCCTTTTGTTTGATCATGAATTAGCTGTGACTAACACATCATTGGGAAAGCTAAGTTTATGTTCACTACCTACACTCAGGCCTCATTACTGCCAGACCCTTCTGTAGAACCTGTCTGACAACAGGAAGCAGGCAAAAAGATCTCAAAAGTCCTGATCTATAGAAGAAAAAACTAGAACCCTGAACATCTGAAGCTCTGCAAGCCTCACTTGGTTTTGGCTAAAGGTTTAAAGGTCATGGGCCAATGACAAGAAAGAGATCAAAACATAAAAAATATATGGTCCCCAGACCTTTGGTAAAATATTCTGTTCTAACAAGAGTACAGAGGAACTTAGGAGTGTGTCCCGTTGCATCTGGTGTAAAACTATCTCTGGCTTTAACAACAGTCAGACATGGTGGAGGTGGTGTGATGGTCTGGGGCTGCTGCATCAGGACCTGGACCACTTGTTGTCGCTGATGGAACCTGGTCTGACGGACTAAAATCAGGTTGATTTAGGTGACTTATAAACAGCAGGTCCCCAGCGTCCTCTTATAAAGTCATGTGGTCTCCAGCGGTTAGACATTTAAAGGAAATGTCAAATTTAGTTTTTTGTTTGGTGGAAAACAGAATTCCCTCTAGTCTGCTTCTGACGAAGAACTTCCCCCCTCAGTTATTTTCTCCTCTCATTAATCATCCTGACACCATTTAGGTCGGCCAAGGTCTGAATCTGGGACGGGAACAGCTGGACTCAACTGCGTCATCATCCACCCCGTAGATCAAAGTCAAGACCATAAAAATCTGAATAAATTATAAAGGGCAGTGCTTTTCCTCATTGTTCTTTGTTAGTGCTAATGCTAATGATGCTATAAATAGATCACTTTTCATCTCTAATAATGAGCTCTTTTTTTTTTTTTTGCTTTTGTTGAAATATTTGAATAATTGAAGCTCTTCCCACCTGAGCTGTATTTGTGAGATTAAATTATAAAGTGTGAAAATTTGGGATTAAATTATTTAAAGGTCTGGTTGAGCCTTAGAAACTAGATCTTTTTGACATTTTCATGATTATTTCCAGTCTTTCTTACATCTTGATGATGCGTGCAGGTCTTGTAAAGGTCAGCTCTTGGTAGTCTGAGGATGCTGACCTCTAGAGGCCACTCAGGTCAGTTTACATGAAACAGTTTAGTTTAGCAACCCCACTCATAAATGGTCTCAGGATGCTGCTGACTCACTGTAGGGCTCACCTTTTCTTCTCCTGATAAATCAAACGTTTAGAAAGGGAATCATCAGAAGATAGGACTTTCTTCCAGTCCTTAGCTGTCTAATCCACAGACATTTAGCAGAATATCAGTCCATCCATGGCTGTCTTGGAAGAGCATGGCTTCTTTGCTGTCCTGTTTGACACCATGCTACATACTCCAACAGTTTTCTCATAGTGTGCAGATGCACACACGCCTGCCTGCTGCAGCCCTGAGAAAGCTCTACACTGGTGGTACCCTCATCCTGCAGCTGGATGAACCTCAGGAGACAATGCTCCTAAGGACTCCTTCACATGAAATTATTTAGGATTCATTTTCATGGTGAAATGTGACTTTGTAATTAAACGTCATCTGAACACTTTTGAGAACATTCTAGAGTTCACTGTCATCAAGCAGCTAACTTCACACTTAATGCCAATTAATATTTGTGTCATTCTCCAAGTGATTTCAAAGCCGTTGAGTAAAATCTCAAACTGGTTTAGGTTATTCTGGCACTGGAAGTCGCGTCTTCCTTTAAAAGGATAAAGTGAGGCTAAGACTCGGAAAAGCTGCTCTGACTGAATCACAGAGGCCTGAGGCTGACACTGAGCCTGCGGATGAGTCTTAATAAACAGCTGAGTAGGGGGAAACAGAAAAATAAGCCTCTCTCAGTGTGAAAGAGTGATTACCGTTCATATTCTATCAGCATGCAGGCAGCAGAGTGGTGGACTTGATGAGAGGTTGATTACTCCAACCCACCTATCTCCTCTTTGATAATTAATCTCAAAGGGATGCAGACACAGGAGGGAGAGGAGGTAGATGAAGAAGGCCAAACAGCATTACGCCCTCACTCTGACTTCAGGGTTTTCTCACATCGGTTTGATCCTGGTTCTGTTCTTTAAAGCTCTCATTCACACCTTTATCAATAAATCTGCTGTGATCGACTCTGTAATATGAATGAATGAATGCCTTGTGAGTCGTTTTCTGCTGCCGAAGTTGGTTCCAGTGGAGGAGGGTTAGGGTAAGCGAAGAACTGTGTCCAGATTCAGGGCCATCATAATGCCTCACACCCCTATGAGGTCTTCAAGGAGAGGAAGAGCGCTGTCCCTGCACTGTTCCACGGACAGACTGAGGGCGTTGTTAGCACTGCGTGCTATTAGACTACACAACACTCTGGCCAAGCACGGGAGACTGAGTTGATTGGATCTTTGAACTGTTTTGATTGTGTTTTAGTAACTTATTATGTTGTGTTCTGTATGAATGACAGTAGTTGGCCGCATTGTAATTTCCTTCAGTCTCAATAAAGTTTTTGACAGTCTATCCATCTGTCTGTCTGAAAAAAGGCTCTGGCGCTCATGTTTCAGTGAGTATAAGAAAATGGTTGGAGGCATGATTTGCAAGCACCTCACCTCTGATTGGCTAGCAGCAATGCAACTCTTCCACTGCCTTTGTTCTCATTTCTACTTGTGTAAACAATGCAACATTGATGCGTTATCTCCACGTTGACCACAAACCTGAACATGTTCCACCGTGTTGTGGAGTTTCTAATGCCAACGGTTAGCTTCTAAGCTCTGGGCTGAGAGGCGCCTTGCTCTCTTCTGGCTGCTAAATCATCACAGTCTTGTGTGGTTTCAAGCCAAGGCGGGTGAGTCCATGAATGTTCATTTTCTATGATGCTGAAGAGTCCGTCTTTTTCTCACCCGGGCATTTCCCTGTATCTCCTTTCTGCAACGTGGGTTGAAGACTATTTTCATGTTCAACAGGCATATGCAAATCAGAGTGAGTATTTCAAAAAGAAGAAATATTACACAGTTTCTCAGTGAATGAAAACAATGAATGGCACATTCTTGGTTAAAATTCTTACTCAATGCAAGATGTGTTGTTGCACTAACGGCAGCAGTAGCTCAACAGATTGAGCGGGTTGTCCAGTAATCGGAAGGTTGCAGGTTCGATCCCGGCTCCAGACAGAGAATTCTGCTGTTGTGTCCTTGGGCAAGACACTTCACCCACCTTGCCTGTGGGTGGTGGTCGGAGGGTCCAGTGGCGCCTGCGCTTGCACTTGTATAGCTCGGCAGCCTCACCTCTGCCAGGGCAGCTGTGGCTACATTGTAGCTCATCCCCACCAGTGTATGAATGAGTGTGTGAATGGATGAATGATACACTGTAGTGTAAAGCGCTTTGGCGTCCTTACTCAGAGAGGCGCTATACAAGTGCGGATCATTTATCATTTAACGCACCCCAAAAGTGTTCTGTAAGGAATGCCGCAGGGGTCTGTTCTGGTGACCCGTTGTTGTTTGATATTGACCATAAATAATATCTTTAAAAGGCTAAGACAATTTGGATGAAATATTTAAAAACAAAATGGTTGCAAGAGTCAGAACAAAAATAAGTAACCAAAAAGCGAAAGCATGGTAAACCAGGTTTAACTTTAGCCTTAAACTGCTCAAACAAAACCTATATCCTTCAGCGTTCTAATGTTTCCAATAGGAGATTCACCAACACCAAACCAGCAGAACACCAGTTTAGAGCCCTTCACCATCAAAACCAGTTTGCAGACTGTGAAATGGCCCACTTGCTGCACGAGCAGCCACCTACTGTAAGCTTCATGCTCTTCTCCTGGACACCAGAGTGAAGTCAGCTGAGTTCCTGCAGCACCAGGACACCGAGAGGAGATAAACGCTCAGAGTAACTGTGTATTTATGGCTTCTCCCGTCACTGCACATGAAAATCCTGTCAGTTACAACTAAACAAGGATTCGTTGTCTGTCTGACACAAAAGCACAACTTGTTACTAAACCTCATTTGAAGACTAATTTAAACGCCCTTCAAACTCAAAATAAATAATTAAATCATGTGATGGTTTAAATATTCATATGATAATTACAAGATGTTATACTTTAGACTGTTTCTGGCCCAGAGTGCTCCTGAACAAGATGCTCTCTTGCATTACTGCACTGCTCCTTCAGCAGATGTGACAGCATGCACCATGATTCAAAACGCAGCAATACACCTCATCTTCAAGCAGTTCATTATACACTAAACTCCATGTGGCTGCTCAAATCAAATTCAAATCACCAACGCTGCCTGCAGCGTGACCTTTGGGTCTGCATCCAGCAATCTGAACTCCATCACAGGCTTATCCTCCTGCAGACGGCCTCACTCCACACTGTTCTCATTTCTGGATTCACAGCAGTGGAACAATCCACCAAACATCCACGTCTGCCCGCAGAAATAACTCTTCAGTCAATAATGCTTGAAACCACCAAAAGTCTAATTCACACTTAGTTTGTGCTTTTGTATCTGTTCTTTTGCAAAATAACAAGTTTTTTAGTCAGATCTCTTATTTTTTTAAATTCTGCTTCATTTTAGAAAAAAGCTCCTACTAAACATCTCAGTATTTTTGTGTTTTACACTCTTCTCTGCATTTTACATTGTGCACTAATACAGTTTTCCATTTCTTAGCTATGTGAAAGTTTTTTTTAAGATATCACAGATATTTTCTGCTAGAATTTTTCAAATTTCATCCACATTCGGCATGGTTTAATGCAACTTTCCATCCATGCTGCACAGGTCATTACAAGGAAATGCAGAAACAACCAACCAATTGTCTCACTCAGGAACAATTACTTTCTAATCAACCTGACAGGCATGTTTCTGGTCTGAAACTGGAGTACCTGGAGAAAAACCCCACACATGCATATGATTGCATATTCTGCCCAGAAACAGTGCAGCTGTGGTTCAAACCTGCAACCTTCTTCCTGCAAAGCAACAGGACTATCAACTGCACCACCATGCTGCCCTTTGATGCAGTTTAAGTTTGTAAAAACCAGAAGTAGTATAAATGTATTTGCAGTGTTAAAATACTGTAAATTCTGGATAAACAACCTCAGAGGAAAAGATAAAAACATTAACACCAATTAAAATTAGCAGACTGAAACACAAATAATTACAGAAATACACCAGTTGGACAAAACCCAACTCTAGTGTGTTCTGTCGTTTATCTGCACCTGAAGAGTTAAGCTGAACGTAAAAGCTGCAGCGTCTCAGACACTGAGGTTGACTGCAATAGGGCCCATTTTCCTTAGATTGTTTAATCAAACAAAATGACCCACAGTTGGTGTACAAATACTTTCTATTGGATCCATCAAGGGGTTCAGTCTGGAAAAACTAAACAAATGTAGTGAAACTTGTGAATCTACAAAATCAGAAGGCTGAGTTGAGGTTGAGACTCAAGCAACTAAATTCTAATTATGACAGGTTAGGAAAATAAACACATGCTTCATCAATACTTTAGTCTATTTATTGTTTTCTAAATTAGAAAGCAGTAGAAGAAACTAAAAGGCAAAGTTGTTTATTGTGGAAAATCTGGGGGGGAAATAAGGCAATTAAATGTTTCTAATTGAGCTTTTCTTTATGAAAGTCAAAGGTTTAAAATGTACTAGAATGCATTTTTATCAGGGATGATGAAAGAAAGAAAGAAAAAAAGAAAGAAAAAGAAACGAGATTTTTGAGTTTCAGAATCGGTCCGTGAACGCAGCACGTCCCCGGCGCGTTACAGTGATCACGTGAACCGCGTCACTCAAGCCAGACTGGGCTGCTTCCTCTCCCTAGCTCCGATGTCGGAGGGGTTCGTTCTAGGAAGAAATGGGCTCTGGCAATGCTCGGATTTGATCGTTCAGAGATCCCATCAGTTGAGGCTGTGAATGGCGCCAAAACAGGACCCTAAACCTAAATTTCAAGAAGGTAGGTACCGACGAACGACGGCTGTTAGCATCCGGAGGGGGCGGGTTTGTTATTGTTATTTACTCGACAGCAGCGCTTCACCGCTGCCTAAACAATGTGATTCAAACATCACCAGGGAGGCGGAATGTTCTGGAACAGGACACATCACTGATGCTCACATTAAATACACGTTTTTAATGAACGCGCGTTATTGTAGCTTACCACGAGTATGTGGAGCCTTTGTGGTCATCTGTTTATGTTTGTGTGGTTTTACCTGACAGGTGAAAGAGTCCTGTGCTTCCACGGGCCACTGCTCTATGAGGCTAAGGTACTTGTTAACACTTAGTTAATAAACGAGTGCAAACCCGGCGCCAGCTGAGTGTTTTTATTTGTTTTCCAGTGTGTCAAAATCAACATAAAGGATAAGCTGATTAAATACTTCATTCACTACAGCGGGTGGAACAAAAAGTGAGCAGCTTCATTTTCGTTCTCTGCTGTTTAAGCTTTTCATTTCTACGATGCCAACAGAACGGTTTGTTTTTGTGTTTCAAGGTCTGTCATTTGTTTGTCTTGCAGCTGGGATGAATGGGTTCCTGAAAGCAGAGTTCTCAAATATGTGGACAGCAACCTCGCCAAACAAAGAGAGCTTCAAAAGGCCAACCAGTGAGTGGTTGTGTGCAGGATCGGGAGGCTTCACGAGGCTTTCATGTTGCAGCTCGTCACCAATTCATGTCTTCATGCCTTTTTCTTTTGCAGGGATCATTATGTTGAGGGAAAGATGAGGGGTTTTGCACCAAGCAAGAAGATTGCTGCTGTGCAGCAGAAAAATGTTGATCTGTAAGTTTACAGTTTCATTTCCCTTCTCCAGTGAATCATGTTATAAGCTGATAGACATCTGGATGTAGAGCGATGGTTTTCTGTGCTGGATGATGATAGCAAAGTGGTCCAGAAGAATGTGTAAAGCTTCTGTAAGCTCTTCAGAAAAGACAAGTTCACATGGATTTATCACTCGCTGATAGAGGTGTGTATTAGCAAGAATCAGATATACATTACATCCAAGGATTATAAATAAGATGGAAGAACCCTCTGCGCTGTCATCCATAGGTTTCTGAAGAGCTGAATTTAAGCCCAATGGGTGGTTCCCACCATCACCACGCATCCCATCCCTGCAGAAAAACATGCTAACAGAGGTTGGCAGATGCTTTTAGCCATAAAACCATGGTTGAGCGACTCTGCTACCTTCTTAAACCTTCCCTGGTGTAAAGGGGGGGGGGGGGGGGGGGGGGGAGCTAATAGCGCTAGCACTGACGGCTCATTGGTAGTGATGTGACGTTCACGAATGAATCAAATCATTTGAACTTCTCTTCAAAGAAAATGATGAGAGCCAAGTCCTTGTAGTGAACCGTTCAGCATAGAACGACCCCCCCCAACAAACATTGACGGCAGAATGCAGAGGGAAAAGGACTTTCATGTCTAGGCGCAAACTCGAAACACGAAGTGTTCAGTCTTATATGTCCCTAAACAGCAATGGTATTTCAAGATGGTGCATTACCATGGCGTGTCGACCACAGTTTATGTATATAAAAATGTCAGATTTCTAGGTAATAGGAGCATTTAGAATATACTTTGGTGAGAAATATTAATGAAAAAGGACACATGAACTGTTACTCAGGATGTGTGTGTAAAAATATTACACGCTGTGCCTTTAACATGGGAGTTAATGGGAACTTGCTCCTTTCAGCCCCTAGTGGATGTGAGGGAACTACAATTGTTGTCACTTTGACTTTGACTTTACTTTTTGGCCCTTGGTCACAATATCCACCTTGTTCGTATGGCCCATGAGGCTTTGCATGACAGATATACACTCAACAAAAATAAAAACGCAACACCTTTGTTTCTGCTCCAATTTTTCATGAGATGGACTTAAAAGTCTAAAATTCATTCCAGATACACAATATTACCATTTCTCTCAAGCATTCTTCACAATTCAGTCTAAATGTGTTATAGTGAGCACTTCTGCTTTGCTGAGAAAATCCATCCCACCTCACAGGTGTGCCGCATCACGATGCTGATCCAACATCATGAGTATTGCACAGTGTACCTTAGACTGCCCACAATAAAAGGCCAACCTAGAATGTGCAGTTTTGTCTCACAGCAAAATGCCACAGATGCCACAAGCATTGAGGGAGCATGCAATTGGCATGCTGACATCAGGAATGTCAACCAGATCTGTTGCTCATGCATTGAATGTTCATTTCTCCACCATAACCCGTCTCCAAAGGCGTTTCAGAAAATATGGCAGTACATCCAACCGGCCTCACAACCGCAGACGCAGCAGGTTCTGTCTCGAGCTGGTTTTGGAGAGAGGTTAGGACCCAAGATGCAGAACCAGATAAACGAGGCAGGAGGTGGAAGAAACGTAAAAAATCCTTTATTAAGGAGTAAATCCAGAGAACGCAGGGCACCAAAAAACAAAATCCAAAAATCCTATTAACTAAACCTAGAGATTCCAAAAACACGAGAGACCTAGAGATTCTAAAAGCTAGAGAGGGGGACGAGACGAGGTTGACACAAAACAATTAACCAACAACACACTGAGACGCAGACAGGGTTAAATACACTGGGGCAGGATGAGAGGGAGATGAGCTGCAGGTGTGTGGGGAGAGAAACCTAGTGAAAACAATTAACTAATCAGGGAGAGGAAAATAACAGGACCTAAGAATAAAGACAAAACCTAAAGACAAGAGCAAGATAAATAACTAATGATATAAGGAGGAAGGAGAACTAAAGAACCGGTGGGGAAAGAAACACACTAAAAGAGACTAATAAATGAAAAGCTGAACCTATGGGAAAAAACTACAGAAAGAAAAACTACAGATGTGTGACTAAGGGAGACCACGGGAGCACAGGACCTGGGGGGGATATCTGAGGAGGGGGAAAACCTAGAGGGGCTGCAGATCAGGGGACACATGAGGAAGATGCAGACAAGGACACATGAGGACGCTAGGAGACACATAAGGAGAATCTAGAGAGGGATGGAGAACACAAGGAGACACATGAGGGAGACGCAGACACAGACCATGACAGGTTCACCTCCAAGATCGTGTGAGACCAGCCACTCAGACAGCTGCTGAAACAATTGGTTTGCATAACCAAACAATTTCTGCACAAACTGTCAGAAACCGTCTCAGGGAAGCTCAACCGCATGCTCGTTGTCCCATCGGGGTCTTGACCTGACTCCAGCTCGTCGCCGTAACAGACTTCAGTGGGCAAATGCTCACATTCGATGGTGTCTGGTACGTTGGAGAGGTGTTCTCTTCACGAATGAATCTCTGTTTACATTGTTCAGGGCACATGGCAGACGTGGCGTGTGTGGCATCGTGTGGGTGAGCGCTTTGCTGATGTTAATGATGTGGATCGAGTGGCCCAAGGTTGGTGATGGGGTTATGGAATGGGCAGGCATCTTTTATGGATGAAGAGCACAGGTGCATTTTATTGATGGCATTTTGAATGCACAGAGATATCGTGATGAGATCCTGAGGCCCATTGTTGTGCCGTACATCCATGAACATCACCTCATGTTTCAGCAAGATAATGCTCGGCCCCATGTTGCAAGGATCTGTACACAATTCTTGGAAGCTGAAAATGTCCCAGTTCTTGCATGGCCAGCATACTCACCGAACATGTCACCTGTTGAGCATGTTTGGGATGTGCTTGACCGGCGTATACAACAGCGTGTACCAGTTCCCACTAATATCCAACAACTTCGCACAGCCATTGAAGAGGAGTGGACCAACATTCCACAGGCCACAATTGACAATCTGATAAACTCTATACGAAGAAGATGTGTTGCACTGCATGAGGTAAATGGTGGTTACACCAGATACTGACTGTTTCTGAGTCCCCAGACCCCCAATAAAGCAAAAAACTGCACATTCCAGGGTGGCCTTTTATTGTGGGCAGCATAAGGTACACCTGTGCACTACTCTTGATGTCAGATCAGCATCGTGATGTGGCACACCTGTGAGGTGGGATGAATTACAGTACTCAGCAAAGCACAGGTGCTCACTATCACACATTTAGACTGATTTGTGAACAATGTTTGAGAGAAATGGTGATATTGTGTATCTGGAATGAATTTTAGATCTTTAAGTCCATCTCATGAAAAATAGGAGCAGAAATAAAGGTGTTGCGTTTATATTTTTGTTGAGTGAAAGAAACTTTTGTTTACACTGAGTCTATGCGACCCTTTTGCGCTCTTTTTATGGGCTTTTAGAGACGGAAAACGTGTAAACATCAACTGTCACAGCTCAAACGAGACAACATTACTCCTGCCTACTGAACCAGAGAGGTGGGAGGATGATCTTGAATCTGACCAAAGCTAACATACAGTAGCCTTTTAGCTACTTAGCTACAGCGAGGCAATAAAAAAAAATCAGAGGCTTATTGGTACCTACAAAATGATAAGATTGGTCGTGTTTTGTTGAAAGAGGTGGGACACAATTTTATTTACTTAAAAGCAGACATTGAGCTGAGTCAGAGCCTTAAATCCGTCATCACTTAGACTGGGTTTTAGTTTTAGCTTCTCTGTGGAGGGGGTGAACACTGCACCGATGTTTGCAGCCACACTCTCTCACTCCGAGGTGCATGTTCCAACCATTGTCCTTGTAGCCACAAATTCTGTTTTCTCTGGTTGTTTGGACAACCTCGAACATCTTCCCAAGCCATTCGAGTACATTTCTTAGGGGTAAATCTTTTTTAAAGTCAAATGTTCAAATAAACTGCTACTAGCACTGAAACCTCACCATGCACACCAATGGGTATGTGTACTACTTCCGGTATCCCACCAGATGTTACTTATATCATCGTTTCTCCATAAGGAACTTGGAAAAATAACGTGGATAGGTGAAACAATACGATATATCGCAATACCGAAAGCCAGGTGATATTTACGATGTTTAAGACTAAATTTGATTGGAAAATTCAGGCCAGAAGACTCCAAGACACACCACATGTGATCTCAGAATGATGGTAGTAAAAAATAATCTGCTGCCACCTAGTGGTCAGAGTTTAACATCTCAATAAAAAACTATACACTGCTTTAAAGATATTGCAATCTTTTGGTGTGTTGACATTTTCTTCCATCCCTACTCACTGATAAAATGCATTAATGCTTTTAAAACATGTCGGATTTCTAGGTAATATTACGTCTCTGTGGTAAATGCAGTTTTACAACTTATTTTTCTTTTAAAGATCCCCTTTGACTGTGTTTATATTTCTTTTGTTGTTTTTTTCCTCTAGGAAAGTTAAAAAGGTAAAACAGAAAAGTAAGTATGATTTTGTTTATATTATGGTCTTTCTGGGAACGTCGTTCATATTCAGGACTGCTTATTTCTGACATAAAGAACAAATAACAGCAGTAATTATTCACAATTGTTTGTAGCAGAATGAAGCAGCACAGCTGGAGAACACACGTGAATGTGGGATTTAAAGGGCTAGTTTATATCAAAGATGATTGGTATGAGTTTGGCATCATGAATAGATTTGTGATGATTTATAATTGTTCCTGTTTGACATGCGGTAATGTTTCTTCTTTAATAATAGATGTGTTCGCGTTAAGAACAGGCAGAGTGATTTAAACCTGCACATGGGTGAGAAGTAAATGTTGCTTTTCAGCCTCTAAAGAGAATCACGAGTGTTTTAGTTATCACGCCATGTGGATTTCATTTCAAAAACTAATATTTCATAATTATAGAAGCAGTTTTCTAACACTTTTTTTCAGTTTTTGGCAGCACACCTTTTGAGTCTGAGTGAAAATCAAAAGCTTTAGTTTATTCTGAGAGACAGAAGAGAATGTTTATGTCTGTTTACAGATTTCTTTCCTCTTTTCTTGGTGAATCGATTAAATTGCAGACTGTGCTGTTTCTATTCATTTCCCTCCCATCTTTAAACACGTCGCCTCCTTCCGGGCCCTTCTCAGTAAAAGGTTTCATGGTGATTTCTGACACTGAAGCCTCAGAAACTGATCATGATGCATCAGTCTAATTTATTTAGATCAAAAATGTGTCTCATGGTTATTTAAGTCATTTAGAGTTGTAGCAAAAATGTGAAAAATGACAAAGATAACAGAAACAGCAGCCTGGAATGATGCAAACTACAACAGGAAGTAGTTTTCTAGACTCTTTTTCACCTGTACCTTCGCTGATTGTCTCTGACGGTGTGTTGTGCAGCACCAGGGCCGGGGGAAGGAACCAGCAGTGGAGACGCTCCCCAGCCCCCCCGGAAGAAGCGGGCTCGAGTTGACCCCACTGTGGAGAGTGTATGTATCTTTATTATGGAGCTGGACCGGGCCTCGGCAGAACCTGGGTTTTTCTGCTCTAGTTTTCTTCTGTGTGAAAGCATTTGGTGTTTGACTCTGGAATAGTTCCTGTGGCTGTTCGACGCTGCCTTTAATGCCTCGCTTGAGGCTAACAGTTCATGTTAGAGCTCAACAGGTGACCAGCACAACTACAGCCTAGCATAGAAGCCTGGCGGCCGTCTTGAAGCTCCGTCTAGCTTCGGGGGTTAGCTCACTTAGCTAGTAGCTACATTGGTTCATTTGCTCCCACCTTCAGCTACACCTCTTCTCCCAATTTTAGATTGTCTGGGCGTGACGAGATGTATGACACGGCTAAAATGGCGGTGGTGAGAACCGCTCATTTTGATTTATTTAAAGGGACTTTATGGAGTTTTGAATTTTTATGCTCGCGATTGCCCCCTCTGGCCAAAAGCGTAACTGCAGCTTTAATAGTAGGCTCGTGCATGAGGCGCACATGCTGCACGTGCACACTCCTTAATGAAAAAGCTGAGACGAAGCTCTGTGAAGCTGACGGGGGTCAGCTTCACAAAGCTCTGAGAGCTGACAGTCCCTTGTGTGTGTGTGTGTGTGTGTGTGTGTGTGTGTGTGTGTGTGTGGCCCAGAGGACAGAGGGCAGGAGAACGCGCAGCTAATTAATTAAATAATTTGGTTCTGTACCTTTCTCTTCAGCACAGCCGACAAAGGTTTATGATGGGTCAGTCCTCCTGCATGCTCAGATCATTCCCTTCCCTTGCTTGAAAAATTGTTCCAAAATGAAAGTTGAACCCACATCTTTTTTATCTATGAATTGAATGCCATTTGGCGAGTCTCAAATAAAAATTTGGGCATGTTACTGCAAAAAAATATACCATTAATGTAAAAAAGAAACTCTAAAAAAACTGTGTTCTCCCTCAGAATCGAAACCAGGTCTCCTGCACGAGAGTCTAACGTCTAACTAGATGAGCTAAACCACCACTGACGTTTTCGGTATCTGTAATATTTATATCCTTGATGACAGCTAAAACAACGTTCAAAGAACAGTTCGAAGCG